CCGAGAAGACTTGGCAGAGTGGAAAGCATGATGACGCAATTTGGCACAACATCTTGAAAAATCATAATCATTTCTTTTTTTTACGCATATCAAATCATCCTTTTTCAGACAAGATGTTTCCTAATTATATTTGAAAACAGTAAGTTGCATTTTAAAGTACACGTTATCTTCATCAAATAAGCAGCAGCAGCAGCATGGATGAAAAACGTCTTGCCAACAGCAGAAAGATCATCAAATTTAGAATGTTAATTTTGAGGTCACCAATTATTTTTTTAAAACAGCTATCATATTTTGTTATACCTTACATATATCTATATCTATATATATATATATATAGAAATTGTAGTAAGCTCGCCTAAAAGTTACCAGGAACTGTGGCTCCAAAAAGTTCAACACGTTTTAAAAAAATTAATACATATGAAAATACAGTTTGGATACAGTTTGGAAGTCGAGTTCGGCTAATTTATCATTTTCCGCTTACTTTTTTATCTGATTTTGTTTTTTTTAATGTTTTACTTGTTACATGGTTTGATTTTCTTATGTATTAATTTTTTTAAAACGTGTTGAACTTTTTGGAGCCACAGCTCCTGGTAACTTTTAGGCGAGCTTACTACAATTTCTAATTTTACTTATTTTGCAGTATATTACGCAAAATGTTATCTAGACCAAATTGGTCATTCAGTATTGTAATAACTACCTTGCTTGTTATATTATATATATATATATATCGACAAAAACAGTCTTTTATTCTATCCGCACGTACAGATGTCAAGCAAAACCAAATGTTTTCGAGAGGGGCGGAAACGGATATTTTCGCTGAAATGTGATACCCGAAATATTTCGTGATTAAAATATTAGTCTGTCCGTACGTACAGATGTCAAGCCAAAAAAAAAAATTCGTTCAAATGGTTTAGAGAGGGGTTGTAATGGATATTTTCTCCTCAGCTGCGCGACGCGCTAGCCACTTCGGCACCGGGCGGTTTTCCAGCAGTAAAGTCAAACCAAAAATCTCATGTGGACACCACATGACTTTCTTGTACGTCCTATTAAATTATGCACATTTTTTGCTGCATTTCGTTTAAACTTATTTCCCCGAATTTCATTACAGATATATTTCTCTTTCAATCAATTCAGTTCTCACTTCGCGGCAAGGCAAAAATACATAAAAACTCAAAGCGTCTGCATTAAAACTGAAAAATGTAGAAAAACATAAAACACCAACTATAATTAAAATTTTTTAAAATTAAAGTGAGTCTTAATTAATTCAAATTAAACAGACAGATAGGTTTTTCCGGTGCACAAAACTTTTACCCCCCTTTTAAATTGTTGGTAAATCTACAACTATTGTATGCGGCTTAACTAAGGATATAAAAACCTTAACCGGAGCATAAGAACAATATACTTCAATCACTTTGAAAGCAAAAAATGCACAGCTTATCAACATATAAGAATAAAAATGTTTAGCTCGCGGCGCCGGGAACAGAGTGGGTATACACATTAATATATTTATATACTTTTGGTGCAGCCGATTGCAACCAAAAAGGTAGGTCCACAGCTACATGATATAGGACTCGCAGATACTAAATTTCAATGTTCTGAGGCTACTCGTCTTTGAGTTAGAGATACATACATACGTACGTACGCACATACCTGCAGACGTCAAGAAGAAATCACTTCTGAATTCATTTCGCAATCCGTTTTGGAAAAAAAGAGTCTTTTATTCTGTCCACACTTACAAATGTGTGCACAAGTAATATTCCAAAGATATTCCTTTACCTCACTAAAATCGTGGTGAGACTTTTGAATTACTGTCAGATTAGAGCCGCATGTTTTTGTAATTACTAATTATTCCAAAGTGTTTAACATGAGAGTTTGAATTAAAGGTTTCGTTGTTTATAATACAAAACAGTGTAAAGTCCATTAGACATTTCATTAGAAAGACATGAAACATGAAAAACTAACTATGCCGTCTATGGATTTCAAACCACTGCTCTTTCAGTTGCTAGTTGGATATGCTGACTACCTATTAACAATAGAGCATAGAGGAAAGAATTCAATAATTCTTTGTATTCTTCCTTACTTAAAGGTCAACTAGGAGAAGGTACTAGACACCAGACGACAAAATGTGGTGATGAGCTATGACTGACCAGCAATTTTAGTTCATACACCACTGCAGATAAGTTTCATACAGAAAAAATAAATAAAGAAATTAAATGCTTTCTCGCAAGGATTCGAACCACGGGTCTTCCTTTAACTAATTGACTTACAGTCTAGACGAATTTTATGCTTCGTAATTGCAAAATAGAAAAGCCGCGTACCTTTCAAACCCAAAACCTAGAAATCTGTTGCTTTTATAAATATATATGTTGAGCTATAAATGTCGAGAAAATAAAAAGTTTCTAGTACATTTTGCCCAGAGCTGGTTCCAAACTAAAAAGACTGACTGTATGTAAACTTCATGTTTTATTTTATATAAGATAAATTATGGGAAATTTCGGTTAGAAATCAATCTACCCGCGCAAGTTTTCCCTAAAGAAAAACATTTTCTTTGTAAAACTCGAGAATAACTATTTTGTTTATTTATCTACTAGAAAGTCCGGCTGTCATACGAAATGACCTCTGTTCTAGATATTATAAATTGTAATTAAAATTATTTGTGCAAAGGTGTCTGCTAATTTAAACTGAATTACCCAGGGCAGGCGGCGAAGACGCCATTTTGCTTATTGCTCCACGGGGTTTCCCCTTCTACTTGCTTAATTGCTTAAAGCAGAGTGCAATGAAGCAAACCACTGGCAATACATTTAAGAGCCCCAGCGAGCTCAATAAATAAAGGTGATTTAAATAGTAAAATGTTAATTCACATGTCAAAGACCTCTTTGTACATAACATTTCTTGTGTAGATCTTTCCATCATTTTTAAGCTCGCCTTGCAGAGGACCATCCAATTATTTTTAATTTTATTTCCGTTTCTTTCACAAACTCTTGAACAGGCAACATAAAGTTGACCGTGTCCAAATGCAGGCTCAGGTCAAAAAATGCCAACACGCTTAAGCGTTTGGGCCTGAGACTTATGGATGGTGATAGCAAAGGCAAGTTTTACAGGAAATTGTCTACGTCTCTACTGAATCGGCAACTCTGTGCCTTGGCAACTTCACCCCATTGGCTAGTGCAGTTACGCAAGCAACCAATTAACTATCGACGACAAACAGACACTTAAGCTGCATATATCTATAAAGTAACATCATCTCCTCCGAAACGCCCTGGCTCCCAGGCTTAGCGAAGCGCACCGTTGAATTCTGCAGGTCTGTGGCACGCCATTTTTACCATTCGCGTCTTCTTGGGACTTTAATTAGCCGATATATTAATCCCTATGTTTTCTCTACATTTTCCACTTTCTTTCTCGGGTTTTCCCTATTAGAGGGATTTGGCTACGTGCCAAATACTTTTTTCTCGAATATCTACGGTACGGCGCCGAGTTGAAATTCGAGACGCGTATCCTCGGATTCCAAAAAATTTTCCGAATACATCGATACCGTTCTGATCTTCGTACGACTTTTAATCGGCCGAGATATTAATTAAAAACTGCGGAAACGTTAATTTGCGCGCTCATTTTTACGAGTGGCAACAATAAACAACCGGCGACACACACTTTAGCCGCTTATATATATAAAAATGTTAATAGATTTGCATTACATATCTGCGCGATGCATTGAAAGTCAGAAATAAATAAATGTTTCATGTTCTTGAAAACGTTTTTAAAAAAATTCCTAAAATTCGAAAAATACGTTACGATTCAATGGTATCGATGGATTCCGAGATATCTGCATCGTGACACTAGCATTGAACTTTATACATTTTTCATGTCTCTTGCTACAAAATAAAGATGTTAATAGATTTGCATTACATATCTGTATAATTATAATAATAATAATCTCATTAAGCGGATAAATCTTATCAAAATTTGTATTTTTTTTTCACTAGCTATTTTGGGCACAACAGTAATGATTAATCACTTGGCCTAAAAATTTGAACTGTAAAATTCAACTTTCAGTGTTCTCATTTAAATATTGGCTCAGAACTATTTTCGATGCATTTTTCTCGTTCACTGGGTTCCAGAAGAGGTAATATTAGCGTTTTATAAATAAGAAAATTATGACATATTTTCTCCCTCCTTACAGAATGCCTGCGTGGTGTAACGGTAACACATTCACGGCGTATTCAAGAGGTCCAGGTTCGAATCGCTGCGAGGGCTTTGTACATTTTTCATGTCTTTTGCTACAAAATAACTTAATGACTCTATAAAATAGTCTTACGTCTGTACTTTGTGAATTCATTTAATATTTGTGAGGTCTTAAAGGCGGTGCAGCTGCTCATCTGATGGTAAATAAATATTTGTGAAATCTCGAAAAATCGCTTCAAGTCACACATGGATAAAATCAATGCCTATGTAATAATTTTTTTGCAATAATTGCATCGCAACGTAAATTTCCGGGATCATTTTTTCGAATTTTAGGAATTTTTTTAAAAACGTTTTCAAGAACATGAAACATTTATTTATTTCTGACTTTCAATATAAACTTAAGTATATGGTTACTCAAAGCAGAAACGTCCTTTTGGGTTCAAAAAATTATGATACATTTCTCATAAAAAAGACTATTAAAATTTATTTCGATTTAACAAATTTATATGATGTATAACAATTTTTTGTTAAAATACTATGCACAAGAAACAGATCAGCAGAACATAAATCTCTGAACCTTTCGTGCTCGAAAGTAAAGAGAACTATAAAATTTATCCTCATTTCTAGACAAGCAAATAAAAAAAAAATTGCAAGCGGAACGACACTAGCATTGAACTTGCTTACCTATAACCTAGGGGAAAGTGAAAAGAATTGAAAGTTAACAAGAAGATTAATGCTGCAAAGAAAAATTCACGTGTGACCCAAATTTCCCTCGAATATACTTTCTGGATATCAACGGTGGCAACAATTGGCGATTCGAATCCTTCCGGAAGACAGGGAATATTTTCTTCTTTCCCTCTTTTTTTTACATTTTAAAATCTTTCGTTAAGACGCAGTATTTATTTTTAACTACACCAATATGATAGCGACTGCTTACGAATTTGTATTACATTCTCCCAATTTAAGTAAATTGATTAGAGAGCAGCAACTGAGACTTTTATTTATCTTACTGGGCTGCGTGTTGGTTTTACTATTTTTCTTGGCATTTTCTTGCATAGAACTATTTTTAGGTAGAAGAAGAAAGAACGAACTTCTTTGGAAAATACCAGGATGTAACGCGAATTATTTTTTCTTATACTTAGCCATCGCCAAATCTATTGTGTTGAATAATATGATCAAGACGAATATATGTAAGTAATACTTACATTTTTTTTCATTATTAAAATTGTATGAATTTTCTGTATGTTACAATTGTATCTAAGGGTAAGAGCAAATATGTTTAACAAGAAAAGTTTTTAATTATTTTTTAAATTTAATTTCATTCATCTAAATTAAAACTGTTTTAAAATTGCAGTGCTTCTTATATTATAAAAGTTAAGAAAGTTATAATGCCTTTAGTCATTTTAAAAAATTCTTTGAAACTTTTAACAGATGAAATTATGAATAGGTGAAAGTTTAGACTGTTAGATAAAATATAAGATGGATAGGAAATTCAGCAGACTCCTATAAAACAACAGCGTGCAACTGTTTTCGAGTGGAATTACAATGTAAAGTTATGTAATGCAAAATATGCCCTAAATTATATTTTACGACCAACTCTAAAATTGTAAAATTAGAAAAAGAATTACGGATATGAATAAGTATTGCTTAAACAGAGTTTCCTGTTATTGAGCCTGTTAATTAGCTATAAATTAGGTTTTCAAAAATGACATTAAATTAAAACTTCATGCAAAACTTTGTTTCTTTGGCTTTATAATTTTTTAGCTTTAATTACGTTTGTAAACAAAACCAAGTATGTATGTATTTATTCTGTAAGAAGGTAGTAACTTTTGTAATAAAACTTCTATTGAATTACAAGAAAAAGGTCTGAGCTATTGTTTTATCCAGGCTCTTCATATTTCAACTGCTGTAGTAGCGTCATGTAACAAAATTCATAAATTCTAACGAAATTTCTTCATAAATTTGTAAGTCTCATTAAATATATTCAGTAGTTTATTAAACCAAATATTTGCATTTTTCTGAAACGTGTGAATTCAAATTTCCTCGAATCATTTTAGAATTCAAAATCTTTATGTTTAACTCAACATAATGATTGCAATAAATAAATGATCAGCAATTTAAAATTCTTTATTTATAGAATGTTCGTTCATTCTTAATCATTCATTGATTCAGTCATTCTTCATTCAACTGATAGGTCATTGCTGTCATGAGAAACATCGGGCTAATTTCGAATTTCAGATATATTGAAAATCATAACAATTTTTTCTAATCATTTTAGAATTCAAAATCAAAATTAGAATTCAAATTAAAATTCAAAAATTCAAATTTCCTCTAATCATTTTAGAATTCAAAATCTTTGTGTTTAACTCAACATAATGATTGCAATAAATAAATGATCAGCAATTTAAAATTCTTTATTTATAGAATGTTCGTTCATTCTTATTCATTCATTGATTCAGTCATTCTTCATTCAACTGATAGGTCATTGCTGTCATGAGAAACATCGGGCTAATTTCGAATTTCAGATATATTGAAAATCATGCTACCTAAGAAAATTAATCAAACTGTTTTATTTCAGTGTTCGGGAAAAACATTTTACAAGCCCGAATTAAAAAAAAAATATTATTTATTTATTTAACTTTTGGACATTTTTACTGTTATTTTCACGAACACAGCAAAGAGAACCTTTTTTTTCTAAGTACGCGCTGTAAAAATCTGTTACCATTGTAAAAACACTCACATAAAACCAATATTGAAAAATGTACATTTATTAGAACCTCTAATTAAAAATGCTCTTGATAAAAATAACAATGGATTAATGTTTGGAAAAAAATGTAGGCAACAGAGCTATGAAATGTGACAAAAAGAAACAGATTTACACAAAAAGCAAAACATAAAAAAAGATTCCGTTAATTCTTACTCAACACGGCCCACCAGCGGCCGAGCTGTAAAGTCGCTGAAAACTGGTAGTTCGGTCCGAGGTTCGAATCCCGCGAACGGGCTGGCTGCATGGGTGTTTTCGTGGTTTTCCCCATGTGTAACGCGTATACGAGCCAGTTTCCCTTAGAAAGTCCTCCACGAAGGCATCCCTCCTCTTAGGCAGATAGCCCTAGTGTTCTTTTCCATAATTAAATACACCACCACACACACACCTTACTCAACACGAACACAAATAAAAGCAATTACACTCTTATTAGATTCAGAAAGCATTAATTTATGATCTTTACTAATGCTTCCTATTTCGTGTTATTCATAAAAGTAAATAAATTCGAAATTTGTCGACGAAAATGACACTCGTTCAATAAGGAATCAGAAAGGAAAGAAAGGAAACATGTCAAATCGCCATTCAGATACCTACTATGTAATAGATTTGTTGGTTTACTGCGGGTATCTGAATGACGTTCTGAATGGAAACAGATGTAAGTTATTTCACAGTGTCCCATTCAGTAATCGCTTTCTTTATTTGTTTGTCATTAGCGTTTAGGAGTAATGTAGCAGTATCTTTAACGCGAAAAATTAATCAGTCAGTGTTGACAACAATGTACTATGTTTATTTTTAAAGGCTGTTGGAGTGACACGATTAATGCTAATGTTATTAATTTTTATACTGGATTTGAATAACATTATTTATTAATATTGATTCGATAAAATATACCAAATATGCACAAAGTGAAAAACTTAATGCAGAACTCTAAAGAAAAGTCTGCAAACGCCAAATGAAAATTCTAGTTTAAAATTCTTTACACTAAACATTCTACACTAAAACATAATAATTCTTTTTTGGATTACTCTGCATTTTACGATTATTAGTTTGACATTTTATATACAGCAGATTCAGTTTTGGAGCAAAGTTTTAAGGAAAATTAAAAACAGTCATCCCATGTGTTGCTGGAATGTAATAATTAGCAGATGATTACTTTCACTACCAGAATTTAGTTTATTTTTAAGGTTTTCATATCGGAAAACTTAAAATCTTTTACAAGCTAGTGTTCAGTAATACTTTCATTTATTACAACTCTCGACCTCTTTCTCATACTGAGGGATGGGTCCACCAGCGGCCGAGCGGTAAAGTCGCTGAACACTGGTAGTTCGGCCCGAGGTTCGAATCCCGCGAACGGGCTGGCTGCATGGGTGTTTTCGTGGTTTTCCCCATGTGTAACGTGTATACGAGCCAGTTTCCCTTAGAAAGTCCTCCACGAAGGCATCCCTCCCCTTAGGCAGATAGCCCTAGTGCGCTTTGCCATAATTAAATACACACACACACATACACACATACTGAGGGATGAATCTTGTAAGGATTAAACTAATTAACTCTCTTAAACTACCACCTATTTAACCTTTATGTACATCAAACGAATGGTAACTTCCCACCAAGAAGTCTGAAATTCCAAGAACACACATAAGAGATAAAACTTAACTAAAAAGTATATTAAAGGTACCTTGGATATTGCAACTGAAATTTGACGAAACTTATCCACCGCTATTTGCGCGGTATTAGAAATACAAATGTTTAAATATGCACAATTAAGTGAATAGCTCCAATTCCTAAGCAATCCAGCTTCAGATAGTGCGAATTTTATTCTTAAGCATTAACTAATTCAAAAATTAACTATCAATCTAGAGTGACTCACAGGCGGATGACTGAACATAAACTGCTTTCTGGTGTACTGCCAAATAAATCTGGTAGTTTAAGTCATCTTAATTTACACGCTGACAAAGGCTGAAGAAGAAACAGAAGTTACAGGAATGAAGTTACAGTTGAAAAACCCTTTACAGAGTGTCTAATATATAATAAATTATAATCTAATGGCTCCTTTTAATTCCTTCTCCTTGCTGAAATAGATGGTATGAATGTAACAAGTGAAAACGAAATGCATCTATCCGCTAGTGGAAAAATGGAAATAAACTTTTCAACATCATGATTTTAAATTCTAGAGATTTAATTTAATTTAACTAACAGTTATTTTTAATTAAAGCAACCTTCGTTTCAGTCTCGTTTTAGCCCATGCTTTTTTTGCCGTAATGTTAATAAGCTAGCACGCGTGTATTCAAATGAGGTAGAAAGAAGTGCTGTTTAAAGGAAGGTTTTTTAAAGGTGATTTTAGTTAGTTAGGGAGAGCGTGTTATGGCTACTTGAAAGCCACGTTGTTATTTTGAATTACTAACGATTATATTGCTGTGGTGTTGAGTGCTTCTAGCCATTCAGCTTTCTCCCGCCGAATTTTACGAGTCAGAGCCTTCTTGCGTGTTAATATTACCCTGTGAACATTATATTTTAAATGTATCGTTACCTGTTTCGAGTTAAGCCAGAAATGTTGGCTTTATGTAGCCCAAGTGGGGTCCTCTGTTAAATTATATTGAGTGAACATTTATTTTTAGACGCTATGTTGTACTATAAGACCTGAGAATAATTCCTCATATAATCTTTTAAAGCTCGTAGTTTATGCTACCGAAGAACATGAAAAATTTATAAAATACTCAGATGTTTTAGACAATATTCATTGTCAAATGAACAAAAGGGATGCCATAACACAATCGCACATAAAAATAGCATGCAAACCAGGCATTTACTGCTCACTAGCCGATGCAATCTAAAACTTCCGTAACCAAAAATGATGAACAACAGAAGCTTTAAATGAAAGCAAAATCACATCTTATAATTAACATGAATATAGCATATTTCAGATTCCCAATGTAAAGAGAGATTTCCTGTGTTTAAAATGTCGACGTCCCTCGAGGAATTAAATACACAATGTTAAATACAGCTTATGCTCCATCTCTTTGTAATGAATGAGAAGCTTTCTCAAACAATGCCGTTTCATTTCTCATTTTGAGGTTTAAGGAATCTTAGAGAGTTAGCCTTCTTAGTAACACGAAATTAAATATAAACTTCGTGAAGAGGCTTTGTGATATCTGAAATTAAGTCTTAACCTTAGATTCATTTATATTGCATTTGAATAAGATGCTATTTTAGACTTAAATTACATTTCCTTCAGTAACAAAGGTCAGTGGTAAAATGAAGATTATTTAAACCGTTGCACATATAAGAGATGCAGTCAATTTTTGTTCATACTAAAATTAAGCACTCTTTAATATTTATGATTAAACTTCAGTCGCCTAAAAATTAATTTGTGTGTTCTTTTCATAGTATTGATTCATTCTTTCAATAAAATTTAATCGTTAATAACCAAGTAGATAAACCACTGGAAGATACCTCTGTTTAAGGTATTCCTAATTTTGTTTTGGAATCGATTTCGAGTGTATAATTGATTTCTTGGTATATCATGTGTTTCCTCATCTTTAATGTAAAGAGTGCATGAGCCGTTTTCATTTTTAATTCCTTTGCGAAATATGCAATTTTATGGCAATTTAACTCGCGTTGATTCTCATCATTAATCAACCTAAGTATATCCATAAAACTATCCAAGAAGACGTAGATTGTCTGCTTCCATTTGTATCTCCTAATAAATATACTTAAATTAAACTGCTAACCCAAATGAAAGTTAGCCCAGAAGGGCTATTAGTCTCATAATGGCATTTTTGGTCAAAACACCGAATATTATATTTAAAAAAACTAATAAATGAAGAATCTACTTAAATATATATATACATAAATTTCTGGCATTATGAAAAATCATCAAATTCCGAATAACGTAGTCCTCCACCCGAACATGGGCACCTGGAAGCTCGAATTAGGAGTTTGTTTTATTATCTATTTCATATTTTATAAAATTTTAAACATTTTTTATTAACCAGCTCAACAATTTCAAAGCGAGCAGTGGCAACACTGTAGGGAATGAAATATTTTTATCTTCACCTCGCGAGATTCTCTATCAGAAATTCTAAAGATACACTGTTTTTAAACATTTTTAGCATTAAGTAGCGTTAGGCCAAATGCTCTCAAAACATGCATGTGTCTGTAACTGAAAAAAAAGCCTTAATTGCTGCAAATTGCCTATCTGAGCTTCAAGAATACAATTCTGTGACATTAAATAAATTACTTATTTCACAAGCGCTAAAAGTAATTGCGGGATTGAGTTATCTAATTTTTTTAATTGAATTATTTCAATATTGTTTCTTTTATTCTCTATTTCAAGAGAACAAAATAAATGTTTTACAAATATGAATATATAAAATACAAGTAAAGAAAAAAATCGCATCAGTATCTCACCGCTTCGAATATTCTACGCTATGTCAATATCATGAAGACATCTCATATAACATGGATTCCTATTTATTTTTTCATCATTCGTACAGAGCGGGTGCTTCAAGTTTGTTAAGATTTCACTACGGTGTGGATGACTCGAAATACTATAATCATATCCAACAGTAAATCTGAATTCTGCAGTTGCGTTTGCACGAAGTTTATCTACAGTTTATGAATCCAAAATGTTTGCTCTACTCTTAAGAATAGATGTGAACAAATAGCGGTTCATTCCAGCTGAGGTTCAAGCATTTATGAATGTAAAGGTTTTAGCATGGTAGGTTTTAGCATCGCTTTTTGCTTCTAAAAGTTATTATGCATTCCAGGATATAAATTTTTGAAAGAATTTTACAAATTTCGGGATCTGAAATACATGCAAAAAGGTTATGTGTTTATTTATCTAGTTTAAATGTCGATGCTTTATAACAAAATATATAGAAAAATTATATATTATATATCTTTTTATAGAAAAATATATTTTCATATTTGCAGTTAAAATAAAACATGTGTAATAAAAATGTTACATTAAGTTTTTTTCCCAACATACGTATTATGCACTTTAGAAATAAATCCTTAAAATTATGAAAGTGGTCAATACTTTCTTCTTTAATATTTTTACATGCAATAAACTTAAGGAATTATACTAACATATCATGAAGTTCACGACGACACAGAAAATTCTCTTTCTACTCAAAACACAGAGATAGGGCTTTAAGGGATTTACTATATTGTAATGTTGAAACTTGTCTCTCCCTTCGTGTCTCTACAATTAATAGTTCTTATTTTAACTAAGCCTGAATAATAACTCTATTCTTTAAGAGAGTTTTAAGAAAAGATTACCTAGATGCTATCATAGACGAAATCATTTCTTTCAACTCGTTTTGTCTACTAACAACCAGGTATAGAGAACTTCTGAACACCAATAGTTTAACAGGAATTAGAATTTGTCGCCCAGACGGTATAGTGGTTAGGGAATTCGACTGCGATACCATAAAGCTCGGATTTGAATCCTGGAGAAGGCACTCTTTCTGCAATTTTTCTTACGTAAGATGAACATAAGTTAGCTTCCATCAATAAGTCTTCTACAAAAACATCTCTCCTGATGACCTTCATATACAGTTCCGTAAATAAATAAAAATATGCCTAATATAATTTGTCTCTCAATGCCTTTGAATAACAAGTTGTTCAATTCCGTTTTATCATCAGTTGCTGTTTGCAGTAGGCAGGCGGTGGATGTAACTCTCTGTCTTCATTGAAAGGTCTGATTATCACCTTGCAACGTCTTGCATTGTTAGCTATCATAAAATGTACCCGACATTGGCGACTGTTTATTTAATTATCACCGAGTCTTTTAAAGTATTACAAAGTCAGGAGAACTAGGTATAGAACCTTTTGTTAACTCAAATAAAGTTTTAAAATTGGCAACAACCCGTGCTTGCAAAAGCCAACACATTTGGCTTTTTAAAATGTATTGAATACCTTAACTGATGAAGTTAAGTATTGCCTAACGGCTTAACAGTTTAACTATCGCGCAAGATGGGTCTGACTCGAAGTCGGCGTAAACAAGCTTAATGGGAAGGTTAATTCAAAACCTCAGAAAATCGCTAGAAAAGCAAAGTTAGCAACATGGCCTTGAAGCAGGCAGAACACGTTCTGATTTCAACCTCTAAAACCTTCCTCTAAATACTTCCTTCTTTTACCTAATTTGAATATCGTGAGTGCTAAAAATTTGCCTTCTCGCAGGGAAATAAAATGAGGCTTGATAGGACAGGTGCTTAAAGTAATGGGTTAGAAAATTAAATGATACTCTTCAACCATCTTAAAAAATTTCAAACAATACCCTTTACAGTAGTACATGTGAGATTCAAGAGTCAAATCAGAATTAATTTAGATTTGATTCTTGTTTAAATACTGAAACAAATTGACCAAAATCATACTCATTCTGTACTTCTGTGTTGTGTTGCTAATGTGAATTATCTCACTTGTCTTACTATAGTAACCTCAGTACAAGCCAATGATATTCTCGCGGCAAGGAGAAAAAGACTGCGTTTGTTGTTGGGAAGAACATTGAGCACCATGCCCTAGGACTTCGCTCATTTCCGCCCTCAGTCTTGATGGAGAGCGTTACAGGGGAAGGTCGGGTCAAAGGGTCTGCCAACCTTCTTCCCTATCACTAATCTCTCGAGAAAACTTTCGGCTTGACATATATAGAGAGTATCCCCATGCTACAAAGACACTATATATTTACAAAGATCCATGTCTCCTCCGAGATTCGAACCTTTACCCTTCTGCACCACAGTAGATCTTCCCTACCTACTACCGTCTGGGAGGCTTCTGTGCTTCTTGCAAGCTCCATTAGTAGTCGAGGAATCGAGACCTCTGTACACTGGGAGTTCCAAACAGGCTCGATCCCAAGCGAACTGGCTAGCTGCATGGATGGTTTCCGTAGGTTTTCCCATGTGTTACGTAAATACGAGTTATGTATGTATTTAAAATAAACTCCATAAAAACTACCAATATTAGAATAACCTACTTCCTTGAACACAGAATAGGTAAAAGACAGATCTATGGACTATCCGATCAGCAGAGATGAATACCTTAAAATAATGAAAGAAACACCATTCAATACAATACGGTGAATTCAGTACAAAGACCTATTAGACACATGATAAGTAATTAAATTTTGTTTTCAGTATCATTCCAAGTACTCTGTGGAAGCACTGTCTTGTTTTACAAGGAGAAGTTATGGAGAATGTGGATTGGATTGAGGCCTGTTGTAGTTCTGTTTAAACCTGAAACAGTGGAAGTAAGTTTTAGCTATTTTATTTAAATTGATATTTCATATGTACTTAATAACATCTGCTTGCATTGTTTATTTTGTTAAGTGCAATCTAGTAATTTTTCTGTATGCTATGAATGAAAAAAACTTATTGAAACCACATTCTTATCACATCTAAAATTTAATATTCTGTACGTTCCAAGAGATAACAAAAATTGATCTAAAATACAACAAGCCATGTAAATGAGTATTTGATTTAAGGTTCGTATTTGCTTTAAGGTAAAGCGTGCAATGTTTAGAACATATGATATGATTATACAAAATGAAAGCAATATTTTTAGATTATTGTAGAACTTCAAAGTATTTGCTCATTTTTTTGTATCGAAAGGTGTGGATGTCAATTCATTTTCAGTTACAAATGAAATTCTCTTTAAATAATAAAAATGTCGAAACATTACACGTCAACAATCCATTAGACTTAATAGTATTAGATTTTTCTTCCTAAAGGCTTGTAGGGTTTATATTTATTTTAACTAAACATTTTATTTTAAGTTTAAACTATCTTTCCTGTCAAGCCTTACTTTCCCCTGGAACTGCCAATGCCAGAATATGTAAATTTGAGTAGAACGCGCAAGGATTCAAATTATCAGCGGAAGTATTCTGATTTAAATAGCTGGAAACAAGTTCGGTGAGAGCGAGTTATTCTTACTTCGCGAGCGCGGAGGTAGAAATCGAGAATTAAAGAATAACTCGCTCTCACCGAACTTGTTTCCTTCTATTTAAATCATACTACTTCCGCTGATAATTTGAATGCTTGCGCGTTCTACTCAAATTTACATATTCTGGCATTGGCAGTTCCAGGGGAAAGTAAGGCTTGACAGGAAAGATAGTTTAAACTTAAAATAAAATGTTTAGTTAAAATAAATATAAACCCTACAGGCTGATTACAGTTATTAAAGCTTATCTATCGACTTGGATGGATGGTCCATCCCTGATGGACGTCTTGATTACAGTTAGTTACTAAAGCTTATCCATTACTTTGGATTGGATTGTCCATCCTTGATGGACGCCTTGGTTACAGTTACTAAAGCTTTTCCGTCGCTTAACGGATCCTGTCCGCTAACTAGAAACCAATGGTGTGGATTTGGTCCCTGAGTTAAGACTTCGTTGTATATGAAAGCTTTGACTCCCATCTTCGCAGAATAAATATGGTTTACGTTTTTTGGTGCAAGCTGGACAAAAATCTCAGCCCTGACAGGACTAGATGCTAATTAGTTAAGTTACTCTTGACGAAAAATACTTACAAAAAAAAAAAAAAAAAAAAAAAAAAAAAAAACAAGTGTCCAGCCATTCAAGAACATTTTTGGCCTAAAATAATTCGAGGAAAATTTCTCACTTTTCAAATATAAAACTGTAAACAACAATTATAAAACTGTGAACAACAGTTCCAGCTTAAGTCATCTTATATAACTTTAATTTTATATCAATTTTTCTTTCTACTTTTTATATGGACTTAAAAGTCATGAAAGAGAAAGCATGAGTCTTGATTTTGAAATCCTTAGAAGTTACTCTTTTGCAATTTGCTGCTTCGATTTAAACTTAATCTTATGCAAAGTGTGATAGTACAAGTAGCAGCGCATGATGTAAATTCAAAGGATGACTGAATTTTTGTCTTGAAGAAGCTAGGCGTAATGCATGCGTAGTGAGCAACCATTTAATTCTTATCTTTTCTCAGATGTGTATATTTTGTACAGCAGTACAAAAACTATTTCACTACTATTTTGTTTTCTGAAAAGAAAATTATGATTATAATTTATTTGATATTACTTTGAATGACTGAGCATGAAATGTCGAAAGTCTCAGAATTCTACTGATCTTCCGTCGTCAGATTCATAGTAACTGAGTATATAACACTACTGAAGACTAATTAGTTTAATCAAGTTTACATTCTGGCAGATGGATTATCTGTATAAACATTTTCATGGTTTTTCCTACGTGTAACAGGAAACTGGTACAGTTCTCATTAGAAAATATCCCACGAAGGTATCCTTTCCATTAGATACTCTGTTATGCTTTATATTATGATCTATTGTAATAATCTCATCCATTCTAATCTTCTCTTTGGTTTTAAATTTAGGCTTTACAAGGTTGTCTTGGGATTATAGACTAGTCTTGAAGCCTGTGAAGCAAATTTTCATTCTTTGTGATGTAGGGTTTTCCTTATTTTGGATAACAAATTTATTTTAAGTCGATACCTTTATTAAACTTCTCAACTTCCCCTCACATTCTTTCGTCAGGATGTAAATTTAAAGTTAAGTGATGTGAATATTAAACGGGTGAATCTCTGAGTTTTTTCGCTACCTAAACACACGTTTCGTTGTTGTTTCGCTGTTACGCTAGTAAGCCTCTTAGCAATATCATCACACCGGTTAGGTTTTTGCGAGTCCACCTGTTAGGTGTAACTTAAGTGCTATCTAGCACTATTTATTTTAGGTTTGACTTAAATTATATTCTACGTTTTAGTTTCTACCGCAAGTTTGACGGTGCCTTTGTAACGCACGAAGACTGTGCCTTCTGTTAAATATTTTGAATTAATAAAAGGTTATTTCTTACACTTCTTCTGAGTCGGTAGTTTTCTTCATGCCTATTCGAGAATTCGCCAGGTCATTTTAGGATCTAATCTAGTTTATGTTAAGAGAGAAAGACCCTATAGTATATGAGCCAATTAAAAACACTTTTCATTATAAAATGTTTACGTGTTGTATTTATGTACAAATAAATATTTCTGAACACTAAAATATATTTACTTCGTTATTAAATGGATGGGCGTTTTCATAAAAACATGTAAGAATAATACTTTTTGTGCAAACGCATGTACAAAAATTATTTAACTGGTTTTTGCATAAAAAAATCGATATCGGTATAAAACCCCAAGGATAACGATTTATGATAGCTTTGATACTCTAAGCTTGAATTTGAAGAAATAAATTTTAATTTTTTATGCTTCCTATTTGCTAAAATTTAAATACAAATTTACTGCATTTTTCTGAGCATAAGGTAACATCTTTTCATTTTCTCCGCTTAGAATGATATTTGAAAATCGTGCTCATCTTACATGAACAAGTTTTACATCAAAATACGGCATTTAGACCACTTAATTATCTATTTTATGAAAGATCGCCTCATATCAAGTTCTTACATCTGAGACTATGTACATATTTTTACCTCCCATAAAAAAGTAGATATGGAAAATGAATTAAAAGTAAACGCTTTGTCTTATGTTTGAAAAAATCTAATATGTGGAATAATTCGATGTTTTGAGTGTTTATTTTTGTTGTGTTATTTATTTGGAGGATCATTTATCAAACTCAACGATGAAATATTAATTTTCAGAATAACTTTTTTTTTAAATCATTAAAATTCCATTTAAAATTACACAAATTAACCACATGCCTGCAATATTATTCATTGTTTTAAATTCTGAAACTAAAAGTTAATAATATTTCGATATCGTGTAGATTAAATATTTATCAACATATGCCTCTAAATACATTTTATACTGATATAAAATGTGAAGAAGAATGTTGCATTTTTTATGAATATATGCAACAAAAAAGGAAACAGAGTGACGGAATATATCTCACTTCCGGATCTAAATCTGTATTCTAACAAGTAAACAATATTATGGAAATTTCGGACAAGTTTTGGATTTAAGCAGTTTCTTTTTGCATCTACATAGAGTAAATCTGACCGCATTTCTGGTCAGACAGTAATCCTTCTTTGATATTCTCAGGAAGACTTCCGTGTAGGGCGGAAATTTCTCCAACATTTTGTGCTTTGTTCGAAATATAAGGATAAATAAAGTTTTGTTATATACCTCCGTAAGTATGTTTCAAACAAGATTTCCCCTCAAGATCGCTTATGGATTCGAATTCTGCTTTTCGCTTTGAAAAATTTAAAGGTTTGTCTTAAAGGGCTACGAAATGTTTTATCAAGAAATCCGATGTCTGAAATTTATAAATATTTAAGCTGATCTTCTTTCCTGCAGATTTTATCTGATGAAAATAAAGAAATATTATTTTATTGTTCTTCGTCCTTTCTTGGGAGATTGCTCAGAACTCTGAAACTTTTCTTTCAAGTAATTTTAATGTGCCTTTTAAATTGCTTTTATTTAATTTATTTTAGTGCATTTATTCAGGCGTTGATATACTCATTTAGGGAGAGTCGCAACCCCCCCCCATACCGACAATGTTAAAATGGGAATTTTCGATGTACCTTTTCTCAAAATCTGCTGTAGATACACATTTGAAATTTTTGTGTAATTACAATACACCTATCTGATTATACTGAAATGAGCTGCTTTTAAGACAATTTGGAGTCTTATAGTTATTTATCGAATATTGTATTAGGCATAGCAACATTTAGCACTTTTCTCACAAAAGAAAATTTTTAAAACTTCTTTTTTTCTTAGGTTATCTCAAAATGCTCATTCTATTAGGAAACATAACAAATAAGCCATAAAAAACTTACATACCTGTGAGCAGTAGTTCCTGAAAAAAGGTGCACAACGAGTATAAAAAATCACATTTATAGGAAAACGCGTTTTCATGAAAAATCCTCATTTATCAAAGCATTCGATGATAAATTAAAAGTAGATTTTTACAATTCTAATTTTCATAGAGATTTAAGTATGGTATTTTTTGAAAGCTAAAAAGGTAGAAAATTTGAAAATTCAAAAATCCCAAATCACCATTTTTTGAAGACTTTTTGGCTTCCAAAACCCTTTAATTGCTTCTTCGTGAAAACACAAATTTATTTCGACCGAATAAGGATTGAAAGTATGTAACGTGTAATCCTTTCGAAGCATATAACATGAAAAATCAATAATCACTGAAAACATACGCACAAAAATATCGCTGATGAAAATGTTAAAGAGAAAACAAGACAAGGGAATAACATCGTCATACAAAATATCGTGGATGGAAAAAAAAAAAAAAAGAAAGAAAGAAAGAAAGAAAAAAACATCG